GTTTTGAAGAAGGCGGTGATCCTGGCATCTGCATTATTGGATGCACTTAAACCACAATTTCATTAGAAAGCCGGCAAACATTGAAGCAAAAGACATTGACTTAATAGAAAAAGTTTCGATGGCAATTTTTCCCTTCATGACATACATATTTTTCAGCTTCAAACACTAACCTATTGCTGGGACCAAACCTGCCTACAATAAAAAGCACGGGATCAAACATAAACCACAGCCCTCCATGGTAAGTATTTAAGGAGAGATCGTCGCCCATATGCCGATGTTGTCGTGGGTCTACACAGAAACTTGCTTTTGGCCAATTAAGAAACAAGCTAGTGATGAATAGATTTTTTTGAACGGAGGCACAAAATTTGCCTCGCCCATTAATTAAACAGAAGATAATTGTCCTGTTAATTATGAAAAGCCAGATGAAAATAGTCGTAATCCGCTGAGTGACGTACACAAAATACCCCAAACACACATCTTTGCGCAGATAGCCTCCTCGTGATAGCACACATGTGTCATGGTCATAACTTTTCTCAAAGCAGGCGCCATATTTCACCCTCTCTCTTTTCCGAAGTCTTTGATTCAGTGTATCCGTCGACGATAATGAAGGACTGGAACCGCATCGTCAGTACGTCATCAGTGATCAGCTATACAGCTACAACCACAGCTTGTTGTTTAATCCACAAGGTTTCTTGACCCGGGGCACCAACCAAAACGGTGTGCGTGTGTGCTCTTTTCGGGTGAAACGTCGCCGCTGAGATAAACCGGCCGTCTTGACCACAAATGCACACGCGGGCGCGTATGTATCAATGTATGTGTGTGGGTTTTCAGTTGCCGCGGCAGCGTCAGATCATGCATGCGTCCACCGGCCCAAGCCGCCAGCACTAGCTACTCCGCCTCCATCGTGGCCTCGCCGGTGCGGTGCCTTCTTGAAGCAACCGCCAAGTCCAACCTCGCACCCACTCGACTCGATGACGCCGAGTGTGCGTGAGCGCCGTGCCGACCAGAAGCCCAAGAACACAAAGCCTCGAACAATATGCGTCGACACTTGACGTAGATGGAAGATGGGGCGTGGGGGAAGCACTCAAACGCAAACCAACGTTTCTGTTGGCGGTTTGACGTAGCTTTCGGAGCCATGGGACGGATCAAAGATTACGAGGCGCGGAGATCTTCTTTGCCGTCGACGATCGATCGGCCCTGAGAGCGAAATGCTTGGGTCAGCCCGAGACGAAGGGACAAGTGCAAAATCAGCGAGCTGCCTCTGTGGAAACGTGGCATCGCCGTGAGTGCATGCAACGCAATGCGTACATGGGACGTACGTAGAAGTAGAAAGTGGGCGGAGGTGTGGCCACGTACATGTACATCATACCGTCATAGTGCCATGTGTACAGGTGACACGAGGCGGTTCCGTATAGGACGATGTCCTTAGGCATAGCAGGACAGAACAACAGATGTGGTGGCGACAAAGTACTGCCTGAATGTTGATTGCAGCTAGGACGGCAGCTAGTCAGGATTTCATTTGTTGATGCGAGGGACTTTTTTGACAAAATATCACCCAAGTCAAGGAAATAAGCAGTAAGCATTCATTTCAGTTGCTGTACGGGGACTCTTGTACAGGTGGGCATGAGGACAAGTGACTGATGGGAGAGCACCAAGTCAAGTCATAGTCGGCAAGCAACATAAACGAAAAGGGATGTACAACTTTCAAATAGCAGGCCACTCATATAAGCACCTTCAAATCCAGCTGTTTTTTTTTATATATATTAAGATCGGATTTTTTTTGGCGGTGTGATAATGAATCGAAGAAATATCGACTAGCTAGGTGGAGTGTGTTATGCCGACCTAAAAGTTAGGGGGTCTTGAAATCCAAGATCTTGAAATTAAAGACATCGCCCTTCTTGGTAAATGAGTTTACAAAGTCCTCATTGAGAACGGTGTATGGCTGGAAATCATCATAGCAAGTATGTGGGTTTCAAAACCATTTCTTAAATTTATTGAAAACCCGATGATTCACATTTTTTGTATGGCATTCATTTCAGTTGCTGTACGGGGACTCTTGTACAGGTGTGCATGAGGACAGGTGACCGATGGGAGAGCACCAAGTCATAGTCGGTAAACAACATTAACGAAAATGATGTACAACTTTCAAATAGCAGCCATTTGAAGAAATAAACATATGTCGAAGCCACTCTGCTTGACCAGCTCGGGAAAGGGGTCCCCCGAATATTGGGTATCCGTTGTTAAACCTGGTCGTATACTTTATGAAATGGGGGGAGTATCTGAAACTGTAGCTAGAGCAGCTGGCTAAGCGGAGGAGAGGTACAGCTGCTGACAGATGAAC